TCTTGAACGCTCCTGTGTAAATTCTCCCATCAGGCCACTTCAGCACTCCTCTGAAAAGATCAATGAATCAGATGTTTAGTAGGAAATATGGACACACACACACATATATAAATACACTTAATGGAATTTTCTGAGGCAACAATGCCACTCTCTTTGCACTTTTCTACATCTTTAAGGGCCAATAAATACTAATTATTGTCATTTTGGACATTTGGAGTCATTTTGGATATGTTTCAAGTTATTTTTAGACAATTTTTAAGTCATTTGGTTCAACCTTTGAGTGATTGTAGACATAGTTTGAGTCACTTTGAACAGTTTTGAGTGACTTTGGACGACTTTCAAGGCGTGTTAGACAGTTTCAGTGATATAAGACATATTTAGTGTAATTTCAGACACATTTTGGACAATTTTGAGTGATCTGGAACAGTTATGAGTCATTCTGGACAACTTTAAGCCATGTTAAACACAATGTCAGTCATTTTACACACATTTTGAGTCATTTTAGACAATCTTTGAGTAATTCTAACAAATAATGAGTTACTTGAAAAAAGTTTCAAGTCATTTTTTGATCATTTTGAGTCATTTGAGTCAACCTTTGAGTGACTATAGATCTATTTTGAGTCACTTTGAACAGTTTTGAGCGACTCTGGACAATTTTCATTTTATTTTTAGACAATTTTGGACAATTATGAGTCATTTGGATCAACTTTGGAGCCATTGTAGACATTTTTTAGACGAATTCAAGCTGTGTTAGGCACAATTTGAGTCATTTAAGACATATTTTGAGTAATTCTAGCAAAAAATGAGTTCCTTGAAATAATTTGTAATAATTTTGGAGCAATTTTGAGTCATTTAGAACAAACTGTGATTCGTTTCAGACCAATTTGAATCTTTCTAGACATATTTTGAGTCATGCTGGACAAGTCTGACATCATTTTGGTCAAATTTTGAATCATTTTGAAGTCATTTTACACAATTAGACAACCAAACTAGAAACATATTATTCCATTTAGACACTTTTAAGTCATGCTGATCGAATTTTGAGCCATTTTGGATAATTTTTGGGTTGCTGTAGATAACAAACGAGAGTCATCTTGGACTGGTGTCAACTCAAAATAAGACAAACTGGATCCTCGTCTTTTCATACGTCCACTGATGTTCAGGGACTTTAAGTAAATGCAATGTCGACCAAAGACTGTATTTTTAGTACGAAATATGCTCATCCATGTAAATACACTTGGAGGAACTTTCTGGGCCAGCAGTACCATCCCTACAAAGACACCATCGGCTCAGATCACTGGATGAATCCATGTTTAAAACTGAAGGGTGTGTTGGTCTGACCTGCCGTTGGGTTTGCCGTTGAGCCAGCGGCCGTCGTACGTCGCCTCCTTCAGCCTCCCGTCCTTATAGAACGTGTACGACGCCGTCCTGGAGATCGGAGGATCCAACTTCTGGCCCGAGCCGGCCGACGCCACGTCCTGCCCCGACCCGCTCAGCGCCTGGTCCACCGCCTGGTTGATGGAGCGGAGCCACTTGGCCTGAAAACGAACGCACCGCTCAGACAGAGAAGAACATTTAAAGGTGAAGTGATGCTGGTCGACGGTTTACCTTCTCGGTGGCAGACGAGGCCAGCAGGGTGAACGTCTCCTCAGGTGTGATCACCTTCAGTCCAAACCTGCACACAAACACAGTTTTACACAAAAAACACAACTCACTATGAGAAAAACACACTCATATGTATAAAAGGTAGAAGTGACAGGGTCTGGATTTTTTTTATTATTGGTTGCAGCTGACTGAGAAGTGCAGAATTTTTTTGTTTTTTATAGAATCTGATTTGTGCACATGTTGTATTTCTGACAAATTATTAAATAAGACGAGTAGAATAAAGTAATTTTGATGAAATATTGTAGTTTTTAAGCTTAGATTTGGTTAATTTTCACAATGACACAGAAATTTACATGCGATTAGTTCAATGATTGTTGGAAAATCAATATTTACAGTTTCAAATTCTAAGAAATGGTGTTAGTTTGTTTTTTTGTTTTTTTTAAATATAACACATTTTTTTAAACGCGCAGGTGGATCTTGGGGTTAAAAGCTCAAACACTCAGTTTTTAAATCACTGTAGTTGACATATTTTTACTTGTTTGTATTTTCTTAATTGTTTGGTTTGTAAAAATTCAGACAATTTTGGCAGAATCGGCACCAAAGTTACCCGAGACCATCATCATTCTCACTCAGTTAAACCAACAATACTAACTTATGTCAAAAATTCTTAACAATAAATTTAAATAATTCAAAAGAAAGGCGGCTAATTTGTCAAACTACTGACTCTACATCCTGTAGATGTTTTATGATTTACATTTCTAATTGGTCTCTGGTGCTCTGGTTAAACACTGTCTGCAGTTCAACCAAAACTTTCCAGAATTTTTGCCAAATGACTTTTGGTCACATCTGAGTCATGAAAGTCTTCTGAGATGCATCAAAGCGCTCAGAATTATTTGGTTTTTACAGGATTTTGCTCGAGCAAATTATTCAATTTTAGGATTTTTTTTTTAGCAGACGTGTAGAATGATCTGAAAATGTATTAAAAACCAAAATCCCTCTTTTGTAAAACTGACTCATGAGCGCAGAAGTTTTAGTTTTTTACAGAATTTCGATAGAATAAACTGATTTATTTTAACAATATTTTAAATGAGGCATCCAGAATAAAGTAATTTAGATAAAATATCAAGAACTTTAAGCTTAGATTTGCTTTATTTCCCCCCCAAAAAACTAAAGTCCCACATGATTAGTTCAAGGACTGTTAGAAAGTTGAAAAACTGATGATTTTAATCTGTTTTTACAGTTTCAGACTCTGATAAATTGTTTTTTTTTTTGCTTTTTAAAGTCGACCACAGGTTTTAGGGTTCATATAGTTGCAGAAGATTCCTTAGAGTCAGTTTGAGCTGGAACTGTGTTTAATTAAGAAGACGAGGATTCAATATTTTTCTTAAAACCAGTCAAACCTGCGACTGAACACACTTACAGGCCGGTGTCCTCCTCCGGCATGGGCTCCACCCACAGCGTGGCCAGAGGGAAGATGTGATGGGTGGAGAACTGGAGGTGAGGAAAGAAGGCAAAGGGAGAGTTTTTATAAAAGAGAAACAAACGCCGACGTTTAATCTGAATGTCTGAGCACACAGACAGAAACACAGGAGGCGACACGTCTCTATGAGCAAGAAAACAACCAACAAGCTGACAGAGAAACGAGTGCATCTCTGACACAAATGGGCTTTTAAAGGAGAAAAAGAAACGGCTTTATTTTAATCCATCTGTGCTGTATGTTTTCAGCAGTTTAATGTGGTTTTTATATCTTAGTTTACTTTAAAAATATATTTTTGGTGACCTTGCATGGACGAGTATCGGTGTAATAATCCTAAACTTCACCGTCCTGATCAAACTGTGGAGGATTAACTGTTCACATGTTTAAATTTATCAGCCGTTTTCCTAATAAAAAAGCAGAAATTGCATCTTTTTTGTGTGAAATTGAAACTTTAAGAACCTCAATGTGGACTCCACCTTTTTAATTTGGTAAATTTCAGCCCATTTCCAACAGTTTTATCTTTTTATTAGACAATTATAAACCAACTTGTTGTTAATTTAATGTGTTTACTGCTGCTGGACGGATTCAAAACTTTACAGTAGAAAATATCAAAGACGACAATAACACGTTTGGGTGCAGCTTTTTAGAAATATCAGTGAAAAATATGTTGTTTTGGGGGTTTTTTTTTTTAGAATTAACTGCAACAAATATCCTGCAGTTTTAGGTTAAAAACACTAATGAGGTGATGGTAATTGGTAGAAACATTTTAATTATTTCTTTAAATCACTGTTGAGCACAGAAATTGGATCTTTTGTGTGAAGTTGCTCCTTAAAAATAAAAATAAAAAAATATCATTTTAAAAAAAAGAACCTCCGTGTGGATTCCTTGTTTTAAAATCCTTGTTGTAAATTTCAGCCAATTTCCAACAATTTTGTCTTTTTATTAGACAATTTTAAGCCAACTTGTTGTTAATTTATTGTGTTTATTGCTGCTGGACAGATTCAAAATTTTACATGAAGAAACTATCATATAAATAGATTAAAATAACACTTCTGGGTGCAGCTTTTTAGAAATAAAAGCAATTATTTTAGAATTAACTTAAACAAATATCCTGCATTTTCATGTTAAAAACACTAATGAGATGTTGTTTAATTGGTTTAAATATTTTAAGACTTTTTCTCAAATCATTGCTGAGCACAGAAATTGCATTTTTTTTGTCTGAAATCGCTTTTTGTTCTAATTTGAGCCCATTTTTAACTTTTTTTTAATATATTAAATTCTGTTGTTTTTGATTTAATGTGTTTGTTTTTGACACATTCTAATTTTTATAAATAAAATATATTATAAAAAAGATGGATGTCAGCAAAATGTTAAAGTTTAAAATTATGAATAAAAAATAAAAAATAAAGGCTTTCACAGGAAACTTCATGATGCATCAGTCATGCAGGACAACATGTGTTCCACGTGTTCAACTCTCAGCATGCTCTTTTTTTTTTTTAACTTTTCCACCAACACTCAGCTTCTTGACACTCGGCTGCAGCGACTTTCTGCTGCAGCAGCTTAAAGAGACAAACCTGCTCTGGGTTTTCACAGAGAGCGACCGACTGCCGGACACTCCTGGCTTCTCAAACAACGACAAAAACGAGCACGAGTCAAGGCAAGAGAGGAAGAGGAGGGGGACCAAGGCAACAGAGGAAGAGGAGGGGAGCCGAGGTGTGCAGGACAACCACAGGAAGGACAGGAGGGGTGACAGAAGAGGGACAAACAGCAGGAGGGCCAGGGAGAAGTCAACCACGGACTGTTGGTGTTCTTATAAAACAACAGTAAAAAAAAAAAACAAGGCTTCAGGCTTTTAGATTGCAAAGGTAGGAATAGAAACAGCGTCTGAGCCTTGGTTGTGGTCTGTTCATCCTCCCAGGCAGCCTCCTGCAGGTGGAGAGCAGGCAGAGGACGGAGGTGGAGGCAGGGCTCAGTATCACCGGACATGTCGGCCTCATGCACCCGTCAGAACGTTTAGTTCAAATTTATAACCTGCTTCGTAAACTTTAACCGGGTCTAAATCAGCTAAAACAAGGAAGTTTATTCCAAAGCTGGAGTCTTTTTAGAGCGAAATTTCAATTTCTCATCGATTAGCATTTGAATAAATATGAAAATGACTTAATCTGCTGCAAACATGAGCTTTTGACGTTGATTTAGAGTTAATTCAGGCTAAAGAGGCTGCAGGTATCCGGCTCTGTAGAACAGCTACACACAACATGCTGACTTTATTTTCCCCTTCAACGGTTTAAAAGATGTTTTTATTAACATTTTCTGAGACTTTCAGTTGCTCCTAGTGATGATTTCATGATTAACTTTGGCAGAGAACAGGCTCTATTTTTATATTCTGAAGCAACACAGTTTGTTTTCACACATAATCAGGAGATAATGTTTAATTTTTTTCAGATCCGCACACATAAATACTAAAGAGTGGATGTTAAAATCAAGAGATATTCAGTTTATTCTCATGTATGACTAAGAAAAGCATCAAATCCTCAAATTCACAAAGCTGGAAAAAGTTTTAGAGAATTTAAGTTGCTCCTGGTGATAATTTC